ATTAATCGAAGAAAGATTTTGTTATCGAGCCATCGTGAATAAAAGCGAAGTCGCGATGTTAGCGTACAAAAACGCGATTGAAGTCGTAGTCTAGATTATCGATTGATCGCAACTGCTTTTCAGTCGCGGTTCTTTCCCAAGTCGCCATGAGCCGTGACGATCCGACTAAACGATCATTTCCGATAATCGCGATTTTATTATCGAAATCGCCGATTGATCGTTTTCACTACCGATTGACTGGTTCGCAAATGATAAAAAAAAACCTGATGGACTTAACCTACTATTTTTCAAGTATTTATTCATATCAGCGAGTATAGGTATGCACCGGATCGAGCTACCCGATTCCAAGCTACCAGAAATTCGCTACCCGAAAATTAAAGTCTGTTTTATTCTGATGGTTGTTATTCTCAGGCCTCCACATTAAAGAGGATCCCAAACTTTTATACTATTTTGCATGTTAACTTCAGTTTACACTTTACTCAAGTAATCTGAACTGTTACGTCGCTTTAGTATTTTGCCATACGAAAAATTTCGTTTTGCACTTAGAGTAAGACATTTTTGATTACTTTCGATTTTAGATAATCGATGTTTGATCGAAATCATAAATGCCTTGCTCTAAGTGCCAAACGAAATTTTTCTTATGATAAAATACTAAAGCGACGTAACAGTTCAAATTACTTGAGTAAACTGTAAACTGAAGTTAATATGCAAAATAGTATAAAGATGTGGTATCCTCTTTAATGTGGAGGCCTGAGAATAACAACCATCAGAAAAAAAACAGACTTTAATTTTCGGATAGCTCGAAGCTCTGTGCATATCTAATCGAGTATCGCACTATTATCATATTCTCCGTTCTACCTCATCTCAAATCAGATCTAATACCAGGTGTATTCCACCTTATAGGTGGGACGACTTTATTCTCTAATTAACAGCATCGGCGTTTTGAATCAATTTTTCTTTCCTTTCAGAACAATGTGAATATTTCTCTGTTCTGTCATTGCGGTAATTGAATGTGCATTTTGAATATTAGTACGTTTGCTACAGAACTGTGTCATTGCCCTAAATAATTTGATCAATTCTTTTCTAAATGTTCGTCCAAATAACGTTAGAATGTAGAATGTACAACTATGGTTTACAAACGATATTGATCGAACAACTTGCGAGAAGAGACTGTCTTGCGCTTGTTGATAAGGACTTTTTAATGTTGTCAGTGTCAGTGTAACATAGAGTTTTTGTATGGCATGTGGAATAGTTGTAAGTGCAATGAGAATACACTGCGTTAACAACATAATCATTGCTTGCTGATCTTTCTTTAGTAATCGTCTATAAGTAATATCGGGTACAATTTGTCTATGACGTGTGTTATGTCTGTTACACACTGTCCATACTCCGAATATACACATCAGTAAAGGTGGAATAATACTATATCCAATTAAATAGAAAACATCCGAAAAAATTCCGTAGAAACCTGGAGGAGCATCACACGTTCGATTAGTTTGAATATTGAAATAGACGAGCACATGTACATAAAATAGTGCACAAATTAAAGACGTAATACAGATTACATAACGTGCGATTTTAACTCGACAAAATTGACGATAATGAATATTCCTTGAACTTGATAAAAATCGATCCACACATGCAAGAACAATACACCAAGAAGCTAAAGATTTTGTTGTATAATAAGTATAAAAACGAATTTTACAATAGATAATTGAATATGTGCCTGGATCAATTTGATAACCATCCGATAACAATCGACTTGTTAAAACAAAATAGATAACAAAATAATTTGCCAATGTTGATCCAAGAAAATATAATGTACAACTGTTAGTTTTAAATGATTTTCGAGTAAATATAATTGTATTTAACGTTAGACCAAAAAAGCCTAATATTAATAAGATTATTTGTGAAATACGAGCAAATTGGAGAGTAATTTCGTTTAGAATAGCAATTTGACCAGATATACTAGACATTGTTTTATTCAAAATACTAAACTATATTACAATGATTATTCTTAGAACATGTCTTTTCCCGTTCAAAAAGGAAAAAATTTGTTTTTCTTATCACGTTTAATATGAAGCAGAAATAATTTTTTATTCCATAGAATCAGTTCAAAAAAAAGCTGACAGGGGACGGAAAACATCCTGTGTTTTAGAAGAACAATTGTAGTTTCTGTTATCTTATTATGTATGAATGAATGAATGAATGAATGAATATAGAAATAATATGCCGATTGCTTGAAACAAAATTATCATCAGCTGTAGATTCATCTTTTCATGATTTTATACTTCAGTTAAATTCTGTCCATATTATTACAGGATATTGCCATATATGAAAGTTCATTGAATTATACTAATACTGATTATACCGTACTAGTGAAGTCGAATTATTGCAAAGGAAAAATGAGTTTTACTTTATTAATCGCGTCATAACACGAGCGAGTTAATTAATTCTATTGTCGAGAAAAATAGCGCGATTTTTTTAATACTGACAAATAGAGAACAGCTAGAGAGGCATGATGTTCACCATCCGAAAGAGGAGACAATTAGGACACTTTCTCATCACAAAAAGTAATTTGGAAAAAACTTTTTCTTGACTAAGCGGGATATTGGAGTTTCATTAAACGTAAGTTCAGTGAAAAAATTTCTGAAATTCTTGTGTCATTAAACAATTTTCTATAAAACTCCAGGTTATAGTCGCTTTGCAGGAGACATTTTAATAAACAGAATATGAGTTAAAGACACGAAAATAGATGTATTTGAGCGGGAAAAAAATAAGTATGTGTCGCTAACAGAGGTGTTAACTTAGTTTTATTGTTCATTTATAATAATGAATAAAAGTAAATGAATCATTTATACTTAAAAAATAAAGATAAATTCGTCATTTATATATAAAAAATAAATGTAAATAAATGAAAAAAAAAAATTATCTTTATTTTATAAAAGTAAATGATCGATTATTTATATTTATTTATTTATTTATTTCTACCTTTATTTTTAAAAGTAAAGGTAGAAATAAATAAATAAATATAAATGAATCATTTACGAAACAAGTATCTTTTGTTAACGAAGGAATATCGTCAAATGTACTCTCGTTTTTTGAACAAAATATAGTGGATTATAGGTAATCGACCATGCTGACTTCGAATATGATATTCATTTGGGTTCATAGGCCTTCCATAACCGATCTCTGGAAACTAAATTGTCAGGAACCTCGAAAAATCCCCAAAACTTTTTCTAAATTAGTCAGGGTTGTAGCCTGCGAAATTCTAATAAAAATGAGATATTTCCCAGCTCTACAGAACCTTTCTTGGCAAAGTTATAGAGTTTACGAGAAAAGACCTAAATTCATTTTTCCATTTTCTTTCCGTAGCTCCGAGGTGACAATGAACATTTAGGGTTTTTCTTGTAAACTTATAACTTTGGCAATAAAGGTTGTGTAGAGCTGGGAAATATCTCATTTTGATCAGAATTTCACGGGCTACAATCATAATATATTTAGAAAAACTCTTTCAAGGAGGATTTTGGAAATTTTTTAAGGTTTCTTAAAAACTGTTTTTCTAGAGACCTGTTCGGAAAGGCCTATGAACCCAAGTGAATATCATATTCGAAATCAGCATGGTCCATTACCTACAGTCCACCACATTTCGTTAAAAAAAACGAGAGTACATTTGAGGAGGTTCCTCGTAAGCGCTATATGGGGTGGCCCAGATAAAATCGGACACTTTTATTCGTTATTTTGGACGCACTGTCCAGTACTCATAAGAGTCTGTTTTAAGCTCAATCGATAGAGAAGTGAATTCTCCACAAAATCTGTATTTGAATCTCCGATAACACTTTTCTCGTTTGAGCACCATTGAAAATATTGGTAAGAAAAAAGGGTGCTGACTTGTCAAATTGTGACAAGGTTTTCTCCCCATGTCAAACTTTTTTCGCGATTTCTGCAGAAAATTGCTTTTTTTGGCACTTTTGTGACCGCACTAACGCAACACCAGAAAACGCATTATCCGTATATGTGTGTTCTTGCGCTGTATTTTCACGCAAAAACAAACAGAAAAACGATAGGTTTTTGTCTTTTATCGAAGAATGTTTTTTTTGCATTATACTGCGTGTGATTTTCCAGTACAATTTTTCCAAAAATATTTTGGCGTTTAGCATCACAACGAAACAATGACTCATTGCAATGAATCGTCGGTGAGTCATCATGTTTAGCGTATAATTTGACAAAGCGGAATTTGTGCAGTTTTGTATCTGTATCAACGGTCTCTTTTTCACTATGGAGTCACTTAGAAAAAATTTTCTAAGTGATTCCTCTTAGCTTCGGGAAGAGCGGTGAGGGTGAAGATGGAAGTGGTCAGTGGATCCAGCCACGGGGGTTGCCTGTGGGCGGGTTCGATGGACTGGTCCATGAGGGTGTACTGTTTTCAGAATACCGCATGAAGCTGTAACGTAACTAGGCGAGTAATGTTTTACGCATGAAAAACGATGATCTTTTCTTGCGTTTTATCGCAAAATGTTTTGTCCTTGCAAAAAAACGCAGAAGAAAAGTCATGCGTGTGATGTTACGTGAGACACGGAGATTTTGCACAGAGAAATTTTCTCAAAAGACTTAACTGTAAAACTTTGAAAAATATGTAAGAAGATGCAGAATTTTCCGGTGAAACTTTTGAGTTTTTCGAAATTCTTATGGAATCTGTTTTCCGATCAAGGCATGGAATTTGTTTTTCAGTGTGTCACAGTTAGGCAACTCAGCACTCTTCAGTATTTTGAATGGTGTTCAAACGGGAAGGCCACCCGATATATATATATATATTAGATAAAATTCTTGTGCCATCAAAAGTTTCTAGCGAAAGTTCTGCTACTTTCATTGATCGATCAGATCAGAACACAAAAACTTGAATAGAAATCTATTGTGATTTCTGTTCAGGAGAAGGTACGCTCAAGTGTTCACTTTCAAATAAAAATTATTACTCTTCATTTTTTATCGTTTTTGACATGGCAGCAGATTTTTCACAAAATCACAGACTCGGTTTTCGATGACTTTTACTGCAATGATAAACAAAACTCTATTTATGTTTCTTCATTTCATCTGTATATGTATTACAGTTCCTTTTCCTTTTCTGTTCCAGGTGGTATACTATCTAGCAGTTGTTCATCTGTTGTATCTGATATATTATTTGAACATTTCG